GGGAGGCAGAGGCAGGAGGATCTCTGTGAGGTCAAGACCAGCCTGGTCTACAAGAGCTACTTCCAGGACAGGCTACAAAGCTACAGAGAAACCCTGTCTGAAAAAGAAGAAAGAAGAAAGGAGGAGGAGAGAGAAGAAGGAGATGGAAAAAGGAGGAGGAAGAGGAGGAGGAGGAGGAGGAGGAGGAGGAGGAGGAGAAGAAGAAGAAGAAGAAGAAGAAGAAGAAGAAGAAGAAGAAGAAGAAGAAGAAGAAGAAAAGAAGAAGGAATGAATGACAGACATTTCTTGTCAGGAAGTATAAGGTGAACTGGTGATCACCCTGTCAAGCTAAATAAGCCAAACTCAGAAAGATAAGAATTACATGTCTTCTTTTATATGAGGAATTTAGGGTAGTGGACTGCCTGTGTGTAGAAAGGAAAGGAGAGGAGCAATAAAAGAAGGTAATGGAGGTAATAAATATGACAAATGTTTTATATGTGTATATAAAAATGTTACAGTGAAAGCCGTACTCTGTACTATTAATATGTTGATAGTAAAATGAAAGTTAAAAATAAACTCTTTGTGCTGGGTGTGGTGGTTCATGCCCTTTGACCCCAACTAGGATGGATCTTTAAAAACCTAGCAAAAAAGAAAAAGGGATAGGCAGAAATGTGAACCAGAAATTAAGTAATTAAGTAGTTTTTATTGTTTGAGACAGTGTCTCACTGTGAAGCCTGGGCTGGCCCAGAAGATACTGCCTCTTCCTTTTAAGTGCTGGGATAAAAGGTGTGCACTACCATGCCCAGCTGGACCAGAAAAATTGATTTTATTGTTTGTTTGTTTCAAGACAGGGTATCTCTGTGTAGCCTGGGCTATCCTGGGACTTGCTCTGCAGATCCAGTTGGCCTTGAACTCATAGAGATCTGCCTGCCTCTGCCTCCTGAGTGCTGGAGTCATCACTCAGCTTATATATTCTTAACATTGCAGTTGAAAGTGTCATCTTCCCAGAAGTCAGACACTATTCAAAGGATACATGAATTGATTTGTGACTGAACTTGTCCCTGGAGGCAGGAAAGAATAATAGTTAGAAAATATCTTAAAATTTTTCTTCTTTTTATCCACTAGTAGCTATAAAATATATGGAGACACTTTTTGCTCAAAAACTTATTGAGGAAAAATTATTAACAGAATTTTCATGATATTTAAAATGGATCAATCACATGAAATTTTGTATAACTCTGTCACCCTTGCTCAGTTTCATCACTAACATGACTTTTTAAAAAGCCCCATTCTCATTCCAAAACAAAAATTTAATTGTGGATATTTCCAATGTGAATTTTAGTGATGTCTTCAGGAGACTTTGGTTGGACAAGGAAATGAAGCCCATGGCTTTGCTGTTAGCCAATCCCATAAGGTGGCTGTCTTAGTCAGTGTTCTATTGCTGTGAAGACATACCATGACCATGTCAACTCTTATAAAGGAAAGCAATTAATTTAGTCCATTACCATCTTGGTAGAAAGCATGGCAGCACACAGGCAGACATGGTGCTAGAGAGATAGCTGAGAGTTCTTCTACATCTGGATCAGCAGTCAGCAGGAAGAGACAATGACACTGGGCCTACCTTGAGCTTCTGAAATATCAAAGCCTACCCCCAGTGACACACTTCCTCCAACAAGGCCACAACTCTTAATAGTACCACTCCCAGTAGGCGCCTATAGCGGCCATTTTCACTCAAACCACCACAGTGCCTACCAACCAAGTAGGCTGAAGGTTTTGCCCCTCCCTCACCCATCACAAACCCACTCTTTCCTTAGCACTTCTGATGTAGAGGGCCACAGATATTGGGGTCCAAAAGATGAGAAATATCCTAACAGTGGTCACAAAAAGGTATTGGATTTCCTCACTGCCAGGATAATAAGATGAATATTCATGATGCTAAAGTAAAGTAGGAGTTTAGGGTTGCCCAGGTCTTTGCCTGCATTAGCTGTTGACTAGAAGGGCTACCTAACTCTCCACCAGGCTTCCCTTGAGCAATACCTACAAAGTAAATTAAGTCTCAGCATCGAGACTTAACAAGAACATTCCTAGATTGAATCCCTATCCTTTAGCTAAGTCTCTGAGGTGAGAGGAAACCTTGTGGGATTCTTAGGGGTTCGTGCTACTATTGGATAGCTGAGAAATAGTATTTTCACTTAACACTGCAGCCATTTACGGTTTCCATTTGAACACTGTGCCCATTTATATTTGGATGCATTCACTAGTGGAAATTGCGAAGATTTTTTTTATAGTTGGTATTTACATTTTGTCTCCTTTTGCTCTTCTGTATATGATACTGAACAAGAAATGAAACTCAATCCATTTTTCTTGATTTTTCCTAAGATGTTTGACCATGCTCACTGATGTAACATTTTTGAACCCCACTACCTGGATTTATTGTTTACTCCTATACCAATATAGGGTGTGTATCATAAAACATTGAATTTTAAATTAAAGGGTAAGATGAAACACAAATAGAATTTTAATACTTTGTCAACTGCAAAATATTGTGGAACCAACAGAAGTGAGTCTGTAGAATATCTATCCAAATTACTGACCACTCAGTTGTAAAATGAAAAATTGAACATAAACATTTATTTCTGTCTCAACCTTCTGAAATTACATTAAGGCAACAAGTAAAGGAAAAGGGGGACTTAGAAGGAAAATAACAATGAACAAAAGATAATGTATTTTAAAGATAAGAACCAGCTAACGAGTCAGGGTAACTGAGTAGAAAACAGTACAGAAATTGTCACCACCAAAGACATAACCCTTGGAGACCACAGCGACTGGGGTGACCTGAAGACTAGTATGCAGATGAAGGTAGAGTTGGATGACATCCTGAATCACCAGCATCAGCCCTAAGTGCCCTGCCCTATCCTATCAGCAAGCTCTTTTCTTTAAGGGAGGTTAGTTCACTGAAGAAATAAGACCAGGGAGATTCAGGATATAGGGCACCAGGGCCTGGTGAGATGATCTAGACAGAAAACGGTGTTAGAGAAGGTCTGCACTGAGCTGTGAGTCCTGAGTCATGCCTCCCCTCACCACACATCCCTGCACACCTTGTAGAACAGAGCATGGTCTTCTGCACCAGTATTGAAGTCTGATGTTCTACAAGCCTCTTTTTCAGAGAAGGATTACTGTTTAAGGAAGGTTTGCACCTCAGCAAAGACAGAGACCAAACAATGAAACTGAAAAAGAAAAAAAATTAAAGAGTTCACCCACATAATCCAAGATATATAGATAATATAATAATATATTTGGTGGGTTTTTGTTGTTGTTGATGATGATGTTTTGTTTTTGAAGCAAAGTTTCTCTGTGTAGCCCTTTCTACCCTCGAAGTAACTATGTGGACCAGGCTATCCTGGAACTCACAGAGACCCATCTGCCTCTGTCTCCCAGGTGCTGGGGTTACAGGTATGTGCCACCACTGCCCAGCTTCAACAGTATCTCAATTGAATGAAGGAGTCTGGGGAGTGGGGATGGGAGTCACACAGCTTTGGGGGTCATCACCCATAGTGGGGTGGTAATTTTTGTGATGTATTTGATTTTGAGTAAGAAACTCCTTTACTCAAGCTCCTATAAATAATTCCAATAAGCTCATCATTTCACTACCAATAACGAAAGTAATTCTGATTAAAGAAAGTTCAGCTGGCCGCGAACTGAAACCTGGAGAGAGAGGCCGGGCCATACAGTTATCTGTGCCATCAGCTGTTTCCATTGCTCAGAAATCAAAGTGCATCCTCCAGTAACTGATTCATAGAGAAAGATTTATCTGGTGGACATATCTGCAATGGTTTCTGGGAAAATGCCACAGACACAGGTTGTCTGCTGGTGTCACCAGAAGAACTGAGAACCAGCTAATGGAGGAAGGTGTGCAGCACGAGAAGGTGAGTGTCCCTGTCACCACCAATGTGCTGTGATGTCACTGGTCTGTACCTGCTTTACTGAAGGCCAAAGAAGGACAGGGTGGAGGGAAAGGACTGAGGAAAATTCCATGTTCTCCTGCCCAGACCTTCAAACATTTTCCACAGTTAACTGGACTTGCCAAATCATGCAGGACTAGAGATCAGGTGTGTTTGTAAGAACCTAAAGGACACTGAGAATGGTCACTCCATCCCAGTAACTGTGGCCCAAAGTAGGAGACACTCATGCCTCTCTGCATTTTCATCACTTTCCATCTGTCCTGTTTGGTCCTTCTAGGGTTGGCTTTTGCCAGTTAGAGGTGTGGAAAAGAGCATGGGGAACATAGAGGACAGAAATCTGTCTAAAGACATGAGCAGGGTGAACTTGGGGCCTGGAGTGGACAAGGGAGCTCAGTTCCCTGAACCCATCTGGGGGTCCTTTGTGAAGAAGGAGAGAGTGGATAGACAGGAGGAAGTTCCAGATGTTGAAATTGTGTAAGGGCAATTCTTGTTTTGTGTATTTGTTGCAGGGACCTAATGGTTTTTGGATAGGCTGGCAGCCAGCAAGCCCCAGTAATCCTGTCTCAGCCCCTGCCTCCCCCCATACTGGGGATAAAGGCATGGGCAGTCACTGCTCTTACCCATTGTGCCACATCCCTCACCCCAGATTTTTGTGGTGTGTGTGTGTGTGTGTGTGTGTGTGTGTGTGTGTGTGTGTGTGTTTAGCCAGGCATGGTGGCACATGCCTTTAATTACAGCAGTTGTGAGACAGAGGCAGGCAAATCTCTGTGAGTTCAAGGCAAGAAGTAAATTTAATTATACTGTTTTAGGGTTATTATTTTCCATTTGTGTGTGTGTGTGTGTGTGTGTGTGTGTGTGTGTGTGTTGTTTGATGTTGGGTCGTAGGTGCTGCAGTAGAGAGAAATTCACCAAGATGCTAAGCCTTCATTTTCTGGAGGAGCAGAGGAAAAGACTGATACCCAGATAGCTCACTCCTATTACTTTATTCAAACAAATATAGTAGGCCAATAGGGGGTGGGAAAGGTTCCAATTCACGAAGCTTTCTTGCTCTTGCTACCCATGAGAGCAGACAAACCACACTCAGTCCCCTTTGACTATGGTAAGCCACAATCATAAGTAAGAGCTCCAGGTCTGCCATGAGTGTCTTAGGACTGACTATGGATGGTGCAGCTGCAAGCTCTCTCAGAGCACCAAGTGCAGATTTTCCAGAGAGACAACAACAGTTCGTTAAAGTTTAAACAGCCTCAAAACAATTTCTCAGCCTCTACAGATTAACCCAAACATAGCAAAGGCTTTGCTGAAACATTTTTCTCAAAGCCAGACACAAAGGCTTTTCTACAAGTGACACTCCATATGTGCATACAGACTCCAAAGCTCTGAGCAGGAAAACTCACTCATCCAGGAGGGAGTGTAATGGCTAAAACTATGTTTGTATTTCCAGGCATTTTCAGAAAGACTGGACAGGAGTAATGGAAACCCTAGTGACCACAGTCCCAAGGCTGAAGACACACAAGGTTCAGTAAAGTCTTAAAGTTGACCAGTGATTTCTTGTTACTAAGTAACTGTTCAGTGACGGTAAAGGATGGTGTGATCAAACTATGGAACTTACTAAATTACATTCCACACATGTGACAAACATGTGTCCCAAGCCCCACACATGTGACAAACATGTGGGGCTTGGGACAAGAAATGTGGACCAAATTATATAGTCTGTACAGTGGGATTTTTAAACTACCAATGAGACTGTCACCTCTAATGGGTAATGTGACGTGTGTTTTCCAAGAGACATATTAAGGGACAATACAAGCCAACACTTCTCTGTCAAATGTGGTCTGAGTACATTTTGCTTGGGGTTCACTGGAGCTTTGTTTTGCTATGTTGCCCAGGATGGCCCCTATCTTCTAAATTCAAGCCATCCTTCTGTGCCAGCCCTGGGCCAGGGCCATAATTAAAAGACAGCCAGTACAGTGATAGGGCAGCCTGTGACCTCAGTTACTCTTGCTTCTGGTGATTTGGTGCCTGATTCTACCTATTTTTTTTTTCTTTCTGGGCAGGTTATTATGGGAGTCTTTCCAGTCCTACTTTAGGAGTTCATGAAATGAATATTGGCCCAATTCTCTTCCAAGTGGCCACAGGGGACATCACCAAAGAAGTGGCAGATGTGATTGTCAATTTAACAAAAAACACATTTAATCTCAAGTCAGGTAACTTATGGAGATGGATTCTGTCTCAAGCAGTAATCAGTGTGGTAGATCCTATGAAGAAATGTTTCTATAAACAAAATGGTTTGTATTCTTGGGTTTGTTCCTGTTAATAAATATCTTTAAAGTTATTTCAGTGGGCTTTCTTCCTTTCTTTTTTTTTTTTTTTACTTTTTTGTTTTTCTTTTTTTTTTTTCTTGGTTTTTCGAGACAGGGTTTCTCTGTGTAGCTTTGGAGCCTATCCTGGCACTGGCTTTGGAGACCAGGCTGGCCTCAAACTCAGAGAGATCTGCCTGCCTCTGCCTCCCGAGTGCCTGGCTTTCAATGGGCTTTCTTACAACTGGCAACATTTTAAAAAATTTCTTCTCTGCCAGGAATGCCCAGGCATGGGTCTTCTCTATGATGGGGTGTGTTGGAATACAAAGGCTGTCTTTCTGGTAAAGTTACCATCTTGATTTTTTCATGTAGGGGTGTCCAAAGCAATTCTGGAAGGTGCTGGACAAAATGTGGAGGCAGAGTGTTCTGACTTGGGTAAGGATCTGTGCTGCTTCTTGGTGCCAGATTGTTTTTATTTTTATTTTTTCCAGAGTTTAGGACTTTTAATTAATTTGTCCTAAAGTCATTGAATCAAAAATATTATAAACGTTCTTTTACAACCCCAATGCAAAAACAAAACAAAACAAACAAAAACCCTAAGACTAATTGTAGGAAAAAAATCTCTTGTAATGTCCTTAAAAGGCTCTGTCATTTAACAGGTAACAGTGTAAAAACCCAGAGTCCTTTCTTTAAAATGAAGTGGAAAAGATTGGGAAAGAAATATTCAAACTTCGTCTTCTTTCATTGTGATTTGAAGTCTCCTCCTCCTCGGCCACCTCAGAAGCCTCCTGGACCTCCAAAGCCTCCCAGACCTCTGCCACCAAATCTGCCTCTTCCTCCTCTGCCTCCACCTCGGCCCTCGAAAGCACCTCTGCCTCCACCTCGGCCCCCAAAAGCTCCTCTGCCTCTACCTCGGACACCAAAGCCACCTTCACACTTAGGTTTGGCCCAGTCCAAAGTAGCTTTGTTCCCATCAATCTCTCCATTTCCATGGCCTTCTTGGCAGCTTTGGCATCTTCCTCACTGTTGAAGTCTACAAAATCAAACCCTTTAGAGGAACCAGTTTCCCAGTCAGTGACTATTCTTGCACAAACAGAGCCCTCAAATGATTCTTTTAAGGTCTCTTCAGTAGTGTCCTCAGACAGAACCTTGATATACGTGTTTTGGATGGCTCTGGAAGAGAAAAATGCCTGTTTTATAGCATTTCACTATGTTGCCTTGGCTGCCTAGAATTCAGATCCATTCATTCTGCCTTGAGGACTAGAAATTAATGTCATGCACTGCCACATTCTACTGAAATATTCTTAATAATACTGATTTTGTAAAATGTCTTGAATATTTGTTTTTACCAGAAAAGCTACAGGTAAATAAAGGTAAAAAGACTGCACTGGATTAGACACATCAATCTAAGAGAATCCAGATGGCAATCAAATCCAGATTTCCTGGGCTGAGCTGACACAGCTTATTGGTGCCATATTGTAAGGGGAAGATTGACTATGGGAGGCTGTGAGGAAACTGAGAAACGTCTTTGGGCTGGGCAGATATGTATTAATGTTTGTTTTGAGACCCATGTATTAATCTTAAGATCATATATTTTTTTTTTTTTTGAGAGACTCCATATAAAAGAAAGTTACAAGTGGAAAGTTATCTCACAGTTAAGAGAAATTAAGCCACAAAATTTCACTAATCATACTATTTCAAGAGCTTTTAATTCATAAAATATTTCCTCATCACACATCTTGGTTTCTCCAAGAGTACATTCAACATCTGATTGAGTCTGTTTATGCTTTACAGCTCAACAGAACGATGAGTATATACTTACTGAGGGTGGATTACTGAAATGCAAGAATATTGTCCATGTTGTTGGTGGGAATGATGTTAAGAGATCAGTTTCCTGTGTGTTGGAAGAAAGTGAACAACGGAACTACTCATCCATTTGCCTATCACCCATTGGCACAGGTTTGTAGCCACAGGCTGTCAAGGCCCAATCCCAAAGTGTCCACTTCCCCATGGATTTGCATCTCACTGGGTGTGGATGATGACAGGGACACCTCACCTAGGAGTAGACAGTTTCTTCATTCCAAGGCACCCCAATCTAGTAGGGACTGAGTAAAGCCTCGGGTAGTTAAGTAGAAGGAGGAAAATGAGCACCTGTGGCCCCAATTACTGGAAGGACTGAGGCAGGAGTGACATGTGTTCCCACAATTGTCTTCAAGTTTAGTTAAAGGCATTTACTGTAATTTTCTGCCATGGTGTTAGGCACCATTAACAGGAATAATCCAAATGGGCTCTCAGTCTATCAAATCAGTTTGCCCAGGATACTTACATTGTCTGTCATGTGGCTTTGGCAGCTTCCAGTCACTTTGGGCCACACCCATGATTAGAAAGGGACATTTCACAGTTACCTGGCCAATGGGTTCCAGGGCTTGAGAAACAAGATCTGGAACTTGCTGAAGACAGGAGTGGATCTACTCAGTTGCTACTTTGCATACTGCTGGGCAGCTAAAATAGTACAGAGTATGGGCAAGAAAGACATCCTGCAAGCTCTGGGTAACCAATGCACCTAGAATAGACTGTAACAAGTAGCTCACAGTTTTGGGTATCTTAGTTTAAATCCATTCCCCAGAGAGTAGCTATATACACACACACATACACAAACACACATATAGCTTTATATGGTCTTTTGAGGACACTAATAAATTAAGAAGGGGAAATCACGTGGACTCTGTAATGGGAGGGGAGTGACACTGGGAGCCCGGGTTAGCTGAAAAGGACAGATGTGAATGTCACAAATTAAAATGGGTTTCAGGGTCTTTATCTATGGTGTTGACCTGTGGACACCATGGAACAGAAACTACACACACACACACACACACACACACACACACTGTGTCTAGGATGTCAAAACTATTTGCTGACATGATGTTAGGAAAGTTTACAGTGATTAAAGTGGGAGCAGACATTTTTCTTTCTTGTGACAACTGGAATTCCTTCTTTATGTCCAAGCCTTTTGCAGGTGGACCTTAACCTTGTCTTTTTGTGTGTGTGTGTTTAAAGGAGATGCTCAACAGGACCCAGATGCAGTTGCTAAGGCCACAATGGATGCCATTGAAGAATTTATCCAGAAAAAAGCAGTGCGGTCCGTGCGGAAAGTGAAAGTTGTCATCTTCCAGCCCCATATTCTGAAAATATTTTGTGACAACATGAAAGACAGAGAAAAGTCTGCACCTCCTCCCCAGCCATCTATGCTGTCTACCATTGCCTGTGAGTTGTTCGAATTTGTGAAATACGTATTCGTGACCTTGATGCTGAAGGGAATAAAAGTAAAATCAATTTTCATTTTCTCTTCAGCCTTCCTTGGCTTTCCAAAGCATGGTGCCCCAAAACAGAGCACCCTGTTTTTGGAGACAAAAATAGAGCAGAGCATTTTCCAAGTTGATCTCAGCACTTGGGATCACAGAACTTTGACGCCAGGATGTAAGAAATATAAACGGGAGAGGCAAAAGTCAGGCTAGAGATCTACCACTGCCCTGTCTTGCCTTAAATCATGCCACCCCCTTTTGAATATGCTTCCAAGCTCATCCACATGATACCAGTGGTCCATGGTCTACACTTTTAAAAACATCCTTTTAAAAACATCCTTTTAAAAAGGAATTTCTTGAATACACAGAATTATGAGACTATAACACAAGAGGGAAGCAGGTTTTGTCAAAGCATACTGGAAACAGACACAGGAGCTCTCAAATGTCTATTTTGCAGCTGAAATCCCTGCCAATTGGAGTGACATGAAGCAGAAGAATTTGCTTGTAGTCAGTCTGCAACCCAGTGATCCTGAATACAACATGGTGGCAAGCAAGTTCAAGCAGACCTGCACAAACTTTATCATAGAGAATGTAAGTGAGTGGCTGATGATTTCCAAATGGTGGAAATAAAGGATATCATAGTCCTGAATAAACCCACTCTCATATGAATCTGTAGAGGTGACTTAGGTGTTCAAGGTTTTCTACTGCTCTCAAAAGACCCCAAGTCCCAAGTTTGGTTTCCAGTCTCAGAACAGGGAGCTTACTATAGTCTGAAACTTCGGCAGTGGCACTCTGAAATTATGGTGTTTTGTGAGCTCAGTGCCTATGTTTTCATTTTATTCATCCCTATCCTGGCATCTGTAGGCACACGAATTCTGACTTGTCAACCCCAAATATACACATACTTAAAAATTAAAAATAAAGTCTTAAAACATACACTCACTTTCACTACTGATCATACTTTTATTACACAGAATCAGTCACGTTTGTCTGGCCTGTTCTCTCCTTCCACCTTACGATGGGTTCTGGGGGTTGGGTTCAAGACACCAGGCTTGCAGAGAAGTCGCCTTGACTTGCTGAGCCATCCCACCCACCCACCCATTCTTCAGTTTTTGAAGGAAATTTTTGCTGGGTATAGAATTCTGAATTGGCAGTTATTTTCAGAGATCCCACTATTTTTGGACTTCATTGCTTCATTTTGTATCTCTCTCTTCTCTCTGGGATCCTGTATCAAACCCTTGTCTTCACTGTCCCCAACCCCACCCTCAAATCTTCTGGTAGCTATTGGTGAGGGAGTAATTCTGACCATCTAACAACATATCTACTAAACAAAGTTTAAGGTTTATTTTCCTTCTTTCCTTTCCTCCTTCCCTCCATTCTTCTTCCTATGATTTTGGGAATTGAGGCCAGGGCCTCCTCACACACTGAGCATGTACCCTACCACCAAGCTATTACCACCATGTATGAGATAATTATGTGCTGGTTTTTTTTTTTGAAACTGCCCTTTTAAAAGTTTAAATTAAAAGATTGGAAATTTCAAAACAAAAAATTGAAAGTATGAAAAGCTGAGTTAAATGACAAAATTTAGTGTAAACAGAAATAAAATGGACAAAGTTGAAGATGAGAAACAGTTGTAGGTAAATAATAAAAGGAGAAACTGACATAAAAATACTAAACCTTATGAAAAATGTGTGAAAACATTGAGACTTTTAACTACAGAGTCAATTTTGCCGTTTATATTTTTCAGTTTTTGATGTTTTTGAGACAGTGTCTTATGCAGTTCTGGCTGGCCTGGAATTCAGAATGTAGTTCAGGCTGGCCTCGAGTCATGATCATCATGCTTCAATCTCACAAGTTCTGGGATTGTACTCAGAGTGTACCAATGCACCCAGATATGAGGAAAATCTATATATAACTTAGTTGGCAAATTGCATGAGACTCCACAGAAAGTCGAGATATGAAGGTGCACCCTGGTAACCAGAGCTGCAGAGGCAGACACAAGTGGATCCCTGGGGCTCACTGGCCAGCCAGTCAGCCTAACTCAGTGAGCTCCAGGTCAGTAAGTGAAACTTGTCTGTGTGTGGAGGGGGAGGGGTAGAGAGAAGGGGGACTCTCACATGTAGAAGTCAGAGTGTAACTTTGTGGGGTCAGTGTTATCCTTCCAAATTCAGGGATCGAACTCAGGTCACCATATACTTCCTGAGCTGTCTTAGCAGTCCTAAAAGATTTCTGAACATAGGACGCTGTCACTTGCCACTGGATTTTTACTAATGAAAGACTAAGATGGTCATTTGCTATCACTTGACAAGTGCTCTTGGCATCTCTGCAACACTTTATTGATTTATAGATCAAAAGGATCCAGAATCCATCTCTCTGGAGGAGGTACCAGGCAAACAAAAAAATTATGGATGAAAAGAATGGCCAAGGAAGGAACGAGAGCCAGCTCTTCCATGGGACAGAGGCTGGCTGTATCCTACACCTCAACAGCAATGGGTTTAACCGCAGCTATGCTGGGAAGAATGGTAAGGAAGCATGCAATCAATTGCCCCAAATGGGTGCTGGCTGGTAGAGCCTACCCTGGGGTCTGTTCATTGTGTTCCTCACATCGTGGTGGCCAGAGAGTACAGAGTAATATGTTTTTCAATTTCTCCCCAAGGGCTTGACTGACCCTTTGAGGAGGAAAATTAATAATCATGATGATGATAAAGAATCCATACAAAATAGTCACACTGAGCATTCCTTTATATTAGCTGACATATTGGGCTAATGTGTTGTTTTATATGCTACACTGAATTACTTTAAAATGTCTTTGTCTTTGCAGCTGTGAGCTATGGGAAGGGAACCTATTTTGCTGTCAAGGCTTCCTATTCTGCCAGTGACACATACTCCAAACCAGATGCCAATGGGGAAAAGCACATGTACTATGCACGGGTTCTCACTGGGAACTACACAATTGGAAACTCGACACTGATTGTACCTCCTTCAAGGGACCCTTATAATCCTACTGATTTGTATGACACTGTCGTAGATAATTATCAAAATCCAAGTATATTTGTAGTGTTTTATGACAATCAAGCATACCCAGAGTATCTTATCACATTTAGGCGTTGATACTTCAGGGCACCTTCCAAGAGAAATCTGAGTTCATGTATCTGCTGTAAGACAAATGTTAGCTGTTTTCCTCCTTTCTGTAAGAGCACAACAAGGTCTTTCATGGACATGCCATGGACATGTTTCCTCAGCTGTTCCTCCATGGTGGAAATGAATCATCTTGAAAGCCAATCAACTTGAGAATTTAAATTGGATAACAGTTGTGGCAAAGCTATCTCAAATGTGACTGTAACCCCCTCACAGACTTTCAGGAAGCCATGAAATCCAAGTTGCCACCAGCAGAATCCTGTCAGAGTACAACGATGCCATGGGGATGCACAGTGTCACTGAGCCAGTAAGGCTGCTAACTGCCAACTGAGCAGATTCCACAACAGAGAGCCTCTTTCTTCACCAACAGCCCTGCCAAGTGGGTTGGACAGCTCCAGTCAGGGCTGTGTACAAACTGGGTGCTGGGATGTGGCTCCTGCTCTGTGTGAACTGAGCCCCAGGGAGGGGTACAGCTCAGAAGCCCTGGCCCCAAGTGCTAGAGGCCCTTTTTAATGTTAACCCAGTGTTCCTGTGAAATTAATGTTATGACACCTGTTACATCACCAGGGGAAGCCCTTCACCGTGTGAGAATGGTGAACTCTAAGGCTATCTGCTACAGTCTCTCCTGTGGCAGGTCAGCTTGAGAAGATTTCAAAGCCTTAAGTGTAAGCCAACTAATCAGATTGCTAACTTACTGACTCAGTGTCTCGCACATGCCAGGCAAACACTCTACCACTGAGCTACACACCATAGCCCTCTTTACTTATTTTGAGGCAGACTGGGTTTAGTTGTTCAGGTGGGCTCTGATATCCCTCTATAGCCATGGCAGGCCTTGAACTCACTCTTTTCCTGCTTTGACTACTTGTCAGAGGCCTGTTGATGGGGGAAGTGCTTCTGTGTATGTGTTTGTCTTATTGGATGATAAAGAACTGTTTAGCCAATGAGGCAGCAATTGAGGTGGCACTAGGAGTCAAGAAGGATTATGGCAAATGTAGTAGAGATCCAGGAAAGAAGTGACATAGCAGGCACACTCATATAAGCAAGGACAAGAAGGCAGTCATCCCTTTTCTTTTGCTCTTCCTCCTGGTCTCTGCTCTGGAGTCGCCATGTGATCTGCCGGCAAGAGAGGGGGCCAGTGGGAGGCATCCTGGATAAGATAAGTCTTATAAAATATATAGATTTATGATAATTAAGACTGAGCAAGCCTGTGATATTGGCCAAGCAGCATTTGTACCTAATGTAAGTCTCTCTGTGTTACTTGGGACCTTAACGTGGTGACAGGTCTAACTTGAGCAGCCTTGTGGAAAGTTCCCACATGACAGCAGAGCTTGGGCAGCTTGGCGGAAAGACTTATTGTTACAGCCTGTGCCACCAGATCTGGCTTAAGTTGTTCTTTTAATTTTCTCCTGCAAATTTCAGCCTCAATGCCATTCATTGAGTGCCTAGACTTTGCCAGGTAGAGTGAGAGATGAGCTCACATACATGATTTTGTTCCCATGAATAGTGCTATGGGAAGAATTTTTCTATATTTCAAGGCTAAGGGAACGTTTAGAGTGCAAGAAACATCCTTGCCTGAGGTCACTGAAGCAGGAACTCTCAGAGCCAGCCAGCTGAGTCTTGGTGTTGTGTCGAGCCCTTCATTATTCCCACCATAGAACCCGGCCTTGAGATAAGCAAGTACTGTTTCAGCCATCATTCAGTGGCTATCACACAGTGACTATCAATGAGTGGCCATTACTCGGTGTTTCTCACATGGTGGTCATTAAACTGTGGCCTTCACAAAGTGACCATCACATATTGTCTGTCACACAATTTCTATCACTCAGTGGGGAGTATCTTAGATGATCTGTGAGGCGATCACAGATTTTCCGGGCTTTTTTTCTTTCTGAATTTTGTGTCTACTCTACTCCTTATTAGGAGTTCCATAGGCCAAGGACCTAGCATTTTGTGACATCCTTGGGTGGTACACACCTGGGTATTGGGAGGATGAATTAGCTGGTTTCCACCATGGGGGTCACCGTTGCTGTCCCAAGGACACAGAGAACTTGGAATCTATGCTGCTGTTTCTAAATGGACTGGCATAGACTGGCTCAGGAGGGGCTGGCTTCCCCTGCACTGGCTTCTGTACTCAGTACTAACAACAGTCTAAGGAAATGCAATAAAAGCGAGAGGCCTGTGATAAGGAATACAAACCGTACATAAGATATGGTTATTGATGATATATTATAAATAATAACAATGAAAACAACTCACACGGGCACTCCGAACCACCAAGATCCTAGATGCCTCCAAGACCTGGCCTGAACCCCAAGAGAGGAGGAGCACCTCCTGTCCTCTTTCTTTATTCTACCCCTCTACATACCTGTGACCACGCCAAATGGGTGTGATCATGGTACAGGTATCCAGGGTCTCTCCCTACAATTCCCCTTTTAGTCTAAAAAGGATTTAAACTTGAAAAAATACTAAATTATGTACAAAATATCTTAACAAATAAGAGCATATATCATTGTGAGTAGGGAGAAGACTTTACACATACAAGACTTTACACAAGACGACTTTGACATACAAATTATACACATACAAGTTTCCATAACAGTGTAAGTTGTCTATAGTTAATAATCACTAAGGTGAATCACAAGAAGATATAATAATCTACCTATATCTCATCCTAATCATCTCTATTCCATTTAAACTCTAAAGCCATCTGAAAGAGTTGTCCAAGCCTGAACACTCCCTTCCAAACAAAGGTTTAAAAAAGAATTTTTCCATTACTTGGCAATAAGACAAGGAGATAGTAAGAAACTGTCCTGCCTGTTCAGTCTATAATCGAGCTCCATTACCAGCAGATGATAATCCTGAGGGCATTCATAGAAATGAAATTTGGCAAATGGATGTGTTTCAATTTCCAGAATTTGGAAATTTAAAATATGTACACCATACTATAGACACATTTTAAGCATTTCAATGGGCTACTGCTCTTAGCTCTGAAAACGCTGATTCTGTTATAACACACCTACTAGAGGTAATGGCCATTATGGGTATACCTGCACAAATAAAAACTGACAATGCTCCAGCATATGTCCTCAGCAAATTGGAACAGTTTTTCAAATATTATAACATAAAGCATGTAACCAATATACCACACAATCCTACAGGACAAGCAGTAGTAGAGAGCTCTAACAGCACTATAAAAGAAATGCTCCATAAACAGGCATGGAGAACAAAAACCCCGAAACACAGGTTACATAATGCTTTATTAACACTAAACTTTCTTAATGCTAATGAGAAAGGACAAACAGCTGCAGAAAGACACTGGACAACAGAAAAAACTTCTGAACTGAATCAGCAGGTATACTTCAAAGAGGTATTGACCTCAGCATGGAATCCAGGACATGTTATGTTGGGGAAGAGGTTTGTTTCATCTTTGTTTCCACAGGAGAAGAAAAGCTTAGGATACCATCAAAGTTGATCAAGATTTGGGTGGAAAAGGAAAAACCTATCGATGAAATGACAAGTCATCCACCAAGGTATATCTCACAAATTGTATAGAAACCTCACAAAGGAAAGGGAAGTGTTTTGTTCTTATCTTCCCAGGAAAACCCGTTTCCAAAAGACAAGAAGACACTGAACGTGTAGATACAAATAAGAGAGGATAGCTACCAAAAAGAGAACCATCAAACAAAGGAAAATCTATCAGGTGGTAAACTTTAAAACTGTTTCTATACAAGAATCTATCTTTATCCCATCCCTCTATGTACCCATGACCATGCCCGTTTGGTACAGGTATCCAGGGTCTCTCCCTACAGGCCTGTTTTCATCTGCTTTTGTTCACCAGTGGTTTGGTTAACTCAGGGCAATGCTGATTAGCATTTGTTACACTGAAGAATAATGTTACAATTACCTTCAGACTTGAAAAATGTCTCTCAGTAGAATTATTTTTCTCCTAAAGGGCAAACATGGGAAATCAGGGTGGGGGTGGAGTTGCAGGGGTGGGAGACATACAGTGGCTACGGCTGATAAAAAGCCACAGCTGAACAGGACAGCACTGAATGATCCTTAAGGTTCAGGTAGAAATTACTGGAACGGCACAATGCACTTAAAGGTTTAGAAAGCCTGTATCTAAGGAGCAGCCAGCCTGGAGCCCAAGTCAGGTCTTGATAGTTCACTGCAGGGCCACACAGTTGTATGTGCCTTGGTCACCTGAGGGGTGTGCTGAAAACTCAAGTTGTGGTGCCACTTCATGCAACCCAGATTCTGCTTTCAGTGGTCACTTGGAAGAGTCCAACACCCTGACACTCAGGGCCACACCAAGTGCATAAACACTACTAAAACCTAAACTCAGGGGCTACAGAGAAGGGCTCAGTGGTTAAGAGCACTTGCTGCTCTTGCAGAGGACCTGGGCTTTGGTTCCCAGAAAACACATGGCAGCACATGACCACCTGTAACTATAATTCCAGGGAGCCAATTCTCTCTCTCTTTCTGGCCTCTGATGGAATCGTACCCATGTGGTACACATACATACATTCAGGCAAACACACATATTAAATAAAAATAAATGAATCTTAAAAAAAATCCAGACCATACAACTATACTAACTATGTCTATATATATCATCAAGACCTGATTAAGGTATTTTAGTAAAACACATACACACACACACACACACACACACACAAAACAAAAAACCTAAAAGGTTTTCATAGAATCTTGAAAGGACAGTGAGCCCTAGCCACCATACCTCCTGAAACCAGGTGGGCGTTAGCCCTGCTGACTCATATACACCTCAGAGCAGGACACTACAGGAATGTGTGAGCTCTGCTGGTCTCTGCAGAGCCCAAGTACTTACCAGCCAGTTGGTATTACTCACTCAGGTGTGGTCCTCTAGAGGCAGGATGGTGTGGGAGCCAGGTCATGCTAGCTTTCCCTGCACTCACCCTCTGACACCTCTTTGCAATCAGGGAATCCCCTCCCATCACCCACTTTGCCCGAACTCTTCTCAGGTCTTTAACACCATTCCTTCTCATAGAATTAAAGATTTCCCTGAAGAAGAGCCTCCAAGCTTCTCGGAGCCCAGCCTACACTGAGTCCATTCTGTCAGTCCCATGCCTTCAGAGAACCTAAAATGCCTCATGAGAAACTTACCTAGAAACAACATTTTCCTGAGAAGTTTCATCAAATAATGCCCATGCTTTTAACTAAAATGTTTTTGTTTCCTTTAAAATCAGGAGAAAGCTGCAACCCAGCCCTGATTTTATTGGTGTTTATAACAATGCCGCTGCTGAGAGCACTGTGACTCTCCAGTCCTGCCTGCATAAGATACTGAATGCTGGGGATGTATAGATTCAGGCATTATGCTGGCCTGCCCCAGTCACCTGGCAGAATGCACTCAGGCAGTACCCTGGTCTGCCCAGTGTTCCATGGTCTGCACCCAGGTGCAAAGGACACTTTAAAACAAAGACCCCACCCACTTAAGCTCTCTTTCCTGCTCTTACCCTGGGACAGACAGGACTTTTCCTGTCTCCCACTTTTCTTCTGTCCTCTGTCTCTTTACCTCTTTTCTATACGCCCCACCCCTACCCCCGCCGCCGCCGCCGCCCCTTTCCCTAAACTTCCCACTAAGCTCTGTTTACCTGGCATGTTTGTCCCGCCTAGCTCACCCTTGCTTGCCATGGAATCTGCCAAGATTCCCCATGCACAATACCATAACGGGTGATTCTCGAGGTACCTCTTTTTTTCTATCCATTCCATACAGACCTGAGCCTTTCAGCCTGCTTCTGTGACTCACAGCAGAACAAACCAAAAAGCACCAGAAGAAAAAGAGATTTTTTTCCTCGATAGAGATAAATCTAAGAACAGAAAACTGAGCACTGGCCACAGCTTGCTCCATGCCAGTGCCACTAGGGGAGCACTGCCTATACCGCCCTCTAGTGGAGCACTGCCTACACGCCCCTCTCTTCTCTGCCTACTCAGAGTTAAAGTCCTTGTTCCTTATGTGCTGAGCACTGGCCCAAGTTCTGTCAGTGAAGCCATAACTGCTAAAACTCCCTACCCTCGTGGAGTTACGTTGTGCTCGGGGAAAAAGGACCTCTGCGGGCTAAGAGAAAAACACAACAACAGCCATGCAGGCTGGTCAATGTCCATGTGTGTGCAGAGGCAGGTTGGTCAGTACTCCTGTGTAGACATGAGACAGAGCCACCTTTCTTCCTTCTCATTGTAGCCATTACTGTCTAGTAGTACTCCCATCAGAATGTATGTAGCAATATATAGGAGACAAAAAAGCCAAACATATATAAAAAGTCTCAACCCTGTAACATTTGGGTAAGTCTAGCTTTTGGATAAGTCTGTGAGAAGCCTGCTGGCTGGTCCAATAAACTCGACCTGTTAAAAGAAGCCTCGGGGCCTCTAAAGCTTGCAGCAACATGCTAATTGCGCAAGATAAACTAACTAGATAAGCAAATATACACCGGGCTGGGTAGGGCAGTTCTGCAGGCTGGGGACCAACCCACTCTTAGGAATAGCTGTTACCAGTGCTGGACAAGCAGTGCTGAGACTGGAGAGCAGAACAGAGAGGCCCTGCTCGAGGCCTCTGGCTGGTGCCCAGCAGTGCTGTGCACTTTTCTCGCTTCCTACACCATACACTTGTCCACATCTATTCTGCCATGGCAATCTTAAGGCTGCCATAGACAAAAGGACACAAATGGCCCGGGGGAGGTTCAATAAAATTCGTAAGAACAAGCCGGCATCATGGCATATGCCTTTAATTCAAGCACTCGGGAGGGAGGCAGAGGCAGGCAGATCTCTTTGAGTTTGAGGCTTACATATCCAGTTCCAGCAGACTGATCACCACTAATTTGAAGATGAAGAAGGAACTGATTCCTGCTGGAAACAGGTGGAGCTCACACTTAAAAGGCTGAAAAGATCAGATGGAGGAGGAAAAGCCAAGGGGCTGAGGAGGCCTACCACTGTGAGCTACAGAGCAACATGCTGGAAAAAGTTGATCACAGCCCATTTCCAAACATGCACAACCTCACCATCTGCTGCTCTACCTTTCATTTTAAAATCAAACTATTTAGAACCAATCTTGTTGGTGCCAACCTGTAATCCCAGCACTTGGGAGGTGGGTGGGGGCAGGGCCAGAGGATCTTGAATTGAAGGCCAGCCTGAGCTATATAGCAAAACTGTGTTTGAAAAAGGGACTCTCAACTTGGCCAGGAGGTGTGGATGGGGAGCTCAGAGCTCAGAGGCCCTGGGGGGTGGGGGAGAAACTCACTACTATTGTTTTGTTAAACCAATGGAACATCAAATTGCCTCCCAAATCCTATCTGTACCAGCCCTGAGTCCTCATCAGAGAGGCTTTTTTGTGCAGTAAACGGGGTTAACACAAAGCCTGGAGAAATGGGGGAGAAGCCAGAGAAAGGGGGATCGCTGTGAGTTCAAGGCCAGCCTGATCTACACAGAGTAGAGCTAGAGCTACACAGTGGACTGTGTATCCCCTTGATCTCCTTTGGTTGTTTTATTGCTCAAGCTAGAAAATAAGTGCAATATTGAAGAGGTATGGAGAGAATGGACAGCCTTGTCTTATTCCTGATTTTAGAGGAATTGCCTTCAGTTTCTCACCATTTAATTTAATGTTGGCTGTTCGCTTGCTGTATTTTACTTTTATGTTAAGGTATGTTCCTGTTATCTCTGATCTGAGAGGAGAGGTAGTTAGAAGAAAGAGAAGAGGAGGGCAGAGGAGGACATGAGGGAACAGGAAGATCCAGTCAGGGGAATAATAGAAGAAAACACGATAAGAGATATCATAATAGAGGGAGACATTTTAGGTTTAAAGAGAAATCAGGCACTAGGGAAATGTCTGGAGATCTACAATAAAGAGATAAGCATCATAGAGGGAGCCATTATAGGTTTAAAGAGAATTCTGGCACTAGGAAAATATCCAGAGATATACAAGGTTGACCCGCAACTAACATTCTAAGCAATAGTTGAGAGGCTACCTTAAATGTCCTTCTCTGATAATGAGATTGATGACTACCTTATATGCCATCCTAGAGTCTCCATCCAGTAGCTGATGGAAGCAGAAGCAGACACCTACAGCTAAACACTGAGCTGAACTCTGGAATCCAGTTGCAGAAAGGAAGGGGTGATGAGCAAAGGGGTCAAGACCAGGCTAAAGAAATACACAGGGACAGCTGACCTGAATGAGGGGTTGCTCATGGACTGCAGACTGATAGCTGAGAAACCAGCATAGGACTGTTCCAGACCCCCTGAAGGAGGAGGTCAGTTTGGAGGTCTGGAAAATCTATGGGGCCACTGATAGTGGATCAGTATTTACCCCTAGTACACAAATGGACTTTGGGAGACCTTTCCGCATGGAGGGATGCTCTCTCAGCCCAGACACACAGGGGAGGTTCCAGGCCCTGCTCGAACACCATGAGGTGTTGAGTACAGTCTGTGAAAGCCGACTTTGCACACCACATTGCAAAACAGATATGGAACCTGCTGAAACAACCTTTGGCTCCCAGGTCTTCTCAACGTTCTCCCTTCCATCATTTTCTTCTTCTCTAGGAAGGCAGCCATGAGTGCATTATTCTGTATCTGCTCCACCTGTGAGCAAAGAAAATTAAAAAAAAAATGGTCAGAAAAATGGCTACTTAAATTGTCTTCTGCACTACTTGGAAAATACATGTGCTATGTGCATGGAAATACATGCATTTTGCTTTTCAGTTCTCTCCTAATTTGGTTTCTCTCTTGAAAATCTACTCCTGTTTCAATAAGTGCATTTAATAAAGTCAGTTACATGTCTGTAGTTCCAAAAGTGGAGTCAAGAGAATAAAAAAAAAAGATGAAGGGCAATCTCACATGAGACTCAGTCTCAAATAAAAAATAAAAAAAGTAACGATAAAAATTCACAGGCTTGGCAGATGGCTTAGTTAATTGGTAAAGTGCTTAGTTTGAAAGCATAAGGACCTGAGTTTGATCCCCATAATCTACATTTTAAAAAGCCAATCATTGTGTCATGAGCTTGTGGTCCCAGCACTGGGGAGTAAGCAGATCTCTGGGGTTCACTAGCTAGCCAACTTAGTCTAGTTAGTGAGTTCCAAGTAAAAGTGAGAAACCCTGTCTTAGTTACTATTCTATTGCTGTGAAGAGACACCATGATTAAGTCAACCCTTGCAAAAGAAAGCATTTTCCTGGGGACTTGCTTACACTTTGGGAAGAATATATCATGATTATCATGGCAGGGAGCAGACAGGCATGTGCCAGAGCAGGAGCAGAGAGCTCTACATCCCAATCCATAGACAGTGGGTGCAGAGAGTGGACGCTCAGCCTTGTATGGGCTTCTGACACCTCAAAGCTCACCCCCAGTGACACACCTCCAGTAAGGCCATACCTCCTAAACCTTCCAAATCAATGCCACCAACCAGGGACCAATCATTCAAACATATGGGCCTATGGTAGCCATTCTCATTGGAACCACCATAGGCCCTGTCTCAAAAAACAAGGTGAGCTGGGGAAGATGAGTGTCCTAAGGAAGGACAATAGCCAGGGTTCTCTGACCTCCACATGTTAGAAACATCGAATATTAGTCTTTTCTGAGAAGAAATTCAAATCCTTTCATCTCCTCCCACTAGTAAGACTGTAATGCAAATGTTTCAATCCCCTCCCCTATAAATCTTTTTTATTTACACTGGAAAGACAGCATGGTCAGAGCTTAAGTAATTTAGGCACTGACACTCCCCCACCCCCTTTCCTTCACTTTCTTTTCAGGTTTCTTTTACAGCTAGCCAACTGAGGGAGACTGGGTCAGACCCCAGTCTATGGGGAAAGGACACAGTCACCACTTGTGTTAGAATATAAACCAACCATCTCCCCACCCAGTCTGCCAGCTCTTCTGCTTTCTGAGTAGCACACCCTGCTAATTAGAAGTAAAGTTTGCCTTGTTCAGATGCTTTAATTGGAGAAGACTCTCATTTCAACACCACACATACCCCGCATGTATATCCCACCACACACACCAAATCCACTGTGTAATCAGTACGTGCCTATACTGGTACTGAAACGACCAACAATGTAGACATAGTATGTGTCCTAGTAAATCTAATGGTTTCTGAGATGAAAATAGTTAGACAGTGGTAACACAGCACACTAAGCACTGTTGTGCTTTCCACTGTTGTGGTCACTGATAGGTAGGCCAGCTGCTCATAAAGAATCTGTGTCTCTGCATGTCTTGACATCATTTCTATCCACCCAGTCTCACTCCAGACTCTAGGTGACTGAGCAGCTGCCTGACAGTTCTCTGCAGGTGAATTGTTATTTTGGCTCTAGACTCAAATTAACAGCAAAGTAAACCAGAGCCTCCCTTGATTAGATATACCTTCACAACCCACAAGCCACACTTCTCAAACTGTCTCTTTCGGTCCTCAAGTTCCTGAGTTAAAGGTACTGGGTAACGAAGATCTGTGTGAGATTTTTCCATTTCATCCATGTTATGTTTTTGAAGAAAAAGAGGAAAAGAGATGGATGAGACATTAACTAGTTTATTATAAGGCCTGGCAGAGTACGGAGACTAAGATAGAAGAGGAACAGGGGTAATGCCTGACCACCATGGCGTGTCGCCATAGAGAGGCAGAGAGAGCGTGTAGGTGGGAGAAGAGAGAGTGAAGCAGAAGCAGAGAGAGAGAGTAAAAGAGAGTGAGCAGCAGGGAAGCTGGAGCTTTTAAAGGGAGGACTGCGCATATGCCCAGAGTCCTCACGAAAGCGTGGTGGGTGATATGATGATGGCATGTCCCTGTGTGTGCCCTGACTGTTGTCAGGGGGCAGGGTCTGTCTCTTAAAGAGATAATGCCGATCAGCATTAAAGCCTGAACCTTTCAATCCAGTTTTCCTTGCTCATCGGTCCACAGTCCTAAAAAAGGAGGACCTGGTTTCAGTGTTCTGAAAACACAGAGAAAAAGTATTAAAAGGAGATTCAATGAAACAAATTCTTTCTGGGCAGTTGTGGCACAAATCTCTAATCCCAGACTCGGGAGGCAGGGGCCGGCAGATCTCTTGAGTGTGAGGCCAACCTGGTCTATAAATGGAGTTCCAGGACAGCCAGAGATACACAGAAAAACCCTGTCTTGAAAAACAAAGTAAAAAAAAATCTAAAAATGTTAAAGATGACACCACTGAAAGAATATATGCTGTGCTGTATTGTTTTCAACATCCAACAAGAGCTGCACAAGGCATGCAGGAGCTGTTTCTGCTTAAAACAAATGAACATGAGACTTCCATGACTCTATACTGTTAGTAATGGGTCTCATGAGCTAACACTGGTGTCAGTTTAAATATTCAGATTCATTTTGTATCAAAAACCAAGTGAAAAAACATAATCTTAGTTCTTATGCTATGTTTTTGCCTGCATGTGTGTGTTGCCAGCAGATGTCAGAGAAGGGTCAGATTCCCTAGAACTGGAGGTAAAGGTGTTTTTGAGTTGCCATGTGGGTATTGTGAAGTTAACCCAGGTCCTCCGTAAAAGCCAACACGTGCTTTTAACTGCTGAGCCACAGCAGGGTTTTCATCTAACCCAGCCTGGTCTGAAATCTCCCATCCAGCAGAAGAGGACCTTGAACTCCTAATTCTTCTGCCTATAACTCCTAATTGCGATCACATCATATACCACTACAGCTCGTTAGTCCTATGTTCCTCATCTTCTTTTTGTTTTCTTTTGTGTTTTAAGACAGGTGTCCCCTGTATGGTCCTGCCTGACCTTGACCTCACAGAGATCAGCCTGCCTCTGCCTCCCAAGCGCTGGGACTAAAGGCATGCACCCCCACTGCCCAGCTATACTCTTTATTTCTCCAGACTTTCTTTCTTTGGTTAGTTGTCACTTACTCAGCTTTCCATTTGCCATGCCTCCAAGAAGTCTTTTCTTGGGTTCCAGGCATTAGGTGTCCTATGGACTTCCAGAGCATGGCTACCTTCCTGTGTCATAATTCACCTGCTCACTTATCAGTATCCTTTGTTAGATTTTCATCAGGAACAATGTCCACCTTATTTATCATCAGTATCTTGCACAATGCAGTCTGTAGTAGTAAATAAATGAATGGAATAATCTGTCTTCTGGGATGACATATGATTGGATTTTTATTGTTTGCTAGAAGGTTTTTGGCTTGTTTTGAGCCAGGAGCATTATGTAGCTCAAGCTTGCCTTTCCGCCTCAGTCTCTTCGGTGCTAGGATTATAGGTTTTGTTTCTGTTCAAAGTGACACTTACAAATTTTTAAATCACATTTATTTATTTGTGTGGATGCGGGGATGTGGTGGTACCTGATGGGGGAAGTACTTCTGTGTATGCTTATTTTATTGATTGTTAAATAAAATACAGTTTGGTCAATGAGGCAGCAAGTTAGGCAGGGCTAGGAGTCAAAGAGGATTCTGGGAAATGTAGTAGAGAAGTGGTGTTCCAGGCAGTAAGTGACATAGCAAGGAGACTCATATTTAAGAAAGGAGAAACAGGAAATGTTCCCTTTCCCCTTCGCCTCCTCCAACAGCAGGATGTGAGCCACCAGCAAGAGAGGGCGCCAGCAAAAGGCATCCTCTGTAAGATAAGTTATATAAAGATTTATGATAATTAAGACTGAGCTAAAGCCGGGCGTTGGTGGCGCACGCCTTTAATCACAGCACTCTGGAGGCAGAGGCAGGCAGAACTCTGTGAGTTCGAGGCCAGCCTGTTCTACAAGAGCTAGTTCCAGGACAGCCTCCAAAGCCACAGGGAAACTCTGTTTCGAAAAACCAAAAAAAAAAAAAAAAAAAAAAAAAAAAGAGCTAAAAGATAAAAATCCTAGTCATTGGCCAAGCAGCATTTGAACCCAATACAAGTTTCTGTGTATTAATTGGGGCCCTAACTCGGGTGGGGGGCTGGCATAATGCACACAAGTGGCAGGAGGGCTCGGCGGCTTTTGGTGGAAAGATTTATCATAATAGGTACCTATTGGTATAGAATAGAAGACAGCTTATGGAAGCTCATTCTTTTCCATCACCTGAGTCCCAGGGATTGAACTCAGGTTCATTGCAAGTTCCTTTCTTTACCTGCTGAGCCATCTTATTGGCCAGCAAAGTGGCATTTTAAATGAGACAATATCTTAGTTGGCTCTAGGACTCACAAATGGTCTCTATAGGCCCAAATGCCCACAGTTACTGAGTTTAATCACACTGACTGAGGGGTACTGGGGAATATCTCACAATACTAGGAAGTACTTTGTTGTTGACAGTCCTAAATAATAATTTTAGAGATCATAATGGTGCCAGCAATACATAAATGTAACAAAACTCAAGGGAAGTAATCAGGTAGAATATATCTACATTTGAATGCTCCATTTGCAGAATTGGGCATGTTGGGTTTTTGTTTGGTGTTTTTGGTTTTCCTCCATGTTTTCTAGTAGGTCTTACTATAGGCTTTCTGTGTAATGACCTCTTAGGCAATCCATGCCATCACAAGCAAATCCAACAGTATGTGCTTCTATTTATTAATAAACAGGTCTGACAGTAGAAAGACAAAACACAGCTAAGCAGTGGTGGCACATGCCTTTAAACCCACCACTTGAGAGGAAGAGGCAGGCAGAACTCTGTGAGTTCGAGGCCAGCCTGTTCTACAGGATGAGTTCCAGGACAGGCTCCAAAGCTACACAGAGAAACCCTGTCTCAAAAAAAAACAAAAAAAGAATAAGAATAAGAGGAAGAGGAAGAAGGAGGAGGAGGAGGAAGAGGAGGAGAAGAAGAGGAAGAAGAAGAGGAAGAAGAAGAAGAGGAAGAAGAAGATGATGACGATGACAAAACACAATTTATCAGTGTTACGACCCAAGCTGAACATGGTAGCTCACATCTGTAATCCCAGGATTTGAGGCAGGAGGGCTGTTCTGAGTTCAAAGCCCACCTGGGATACATAGTCAATTTCTGGAAGATAGCCTGTGAGACCTTATCTCAAAACAAAACAAGGTCAGGCATGGTGGCAGAGACCTGTAATCTCAGCATTTAGGAGCCAGAGGCAGGAGAATCTGAAGTTCAAGGCCATCCTTAGAAGACTCTTTAAAAAGAAAATCTGAATATAATAGAGCTGTTGGAAACATGAACTCATGAACTCACAGCAGCTGTGTCAACCTTCACAACACCTACATAAAGTCAAGCCAGTCAAAATCTGAGCATGTACAGGGGAGGGCCACTGGAAGTGGCACCTCTAACTAAGGGACTATTGGTATTTGATGGCTATAAAGAGGAACAGTATGTTTTCTTCAGGGATTCAGCCTGATAGGTTGCTCCCACTCTATTCCATTGGACAACACTGGATTCATGTGTCTATGAGGGCCCCAATGGAACTTAGTAGGTTTTTAAAAAAGGACATGGAGTTAGAAGGGAAAGGTTGGGGAGGTCTAAGAGGAGCCAGAGCAGAGGAATGGGGGTGAATATGATAAAAATTCAGTATGAAAATCCCAAAGAATAAATAAAACTATTTACACCCCAATCATGAGAGGTGATTGCTCTACAACTGAATTAGAACAAATTGTTTTTCCCTCTCTCAGGCTATTTTCCAAAAACACACCGGTACACTAATGACCAAAAGCAACAATTAGGAAAGCTGGCATTTTGCTTTGAAACCAGGTTGGCCTCCAGTTCACTCTGAAACTGAGAGACTCCTGCTCCTCCTGTCTCCAACTCCCAAGTGCTAGGATGACACCTGGCTTTGGGGAATCATGGTGGGGGAGGTCAATGTTCTTCTCTTTACTGCTTCTGCCCCATCTTCTCTGTCTGCAGAGAGTTTTACCCCGACTTAACAAAGATACTGTCAACATCAACACCAATGGGCCTCCCCCATCCCTTAGTTAGAAAGACATTTAAGAAACTTTTTTCCCTCTTTTTATTTTTACTTATCTATTTATTTTGAGACAGTCTCACTACATAGCCCTGGCTGTCTCGAAACTCACATAGATTCTCCCGAAGGTGCCGGGCTGAAGGTGTGAGCCACAATGCCTAGCAAGAGTTTTTACCTTAACATGTAATTACTCACCTAACAAGTCGAAAAGACTTTTCTCCTTTTTTCTTGCCACTTCTCCCTGAACTTCACACAGCATACATTCAACATTCATTACTGCTTCAATGAGGTCAGCCTGGGCACCTCTAATCTCTAGCATTGCTTTCAGGGGACTGACAGTCTCTGAAATGGAGACACCTGAGGCTGTCTGGAGCTGAGACAGCTTGTCATGCTCATTCTTGCCAAGGTAGAGAATGTGATTATTCTCGATGATGTGGTGGTCCTCAGAAGTCAGCAACCTTTCAATCCACTCTTTGGACTCACACATCTCTTCCACGTTTACACCCATCAGATTGATGGCAGGGGATCCGGCTTCAAGTCCACCTCTTTGCTCCCCTCTGGTCCACTGGGGGACTGAAAGAACTATCAAAAACAGATATAGAAGGCTGGTGGGTTTTTCAATAGTACAGAATATCACTGGCACCATTTGCCCCCAGGATATTACCATCACTGTCAGCAACAGCAGCTAAGACCTATCCATAAAAACTACACTGGGTATAAAGGGAATCTACAGGCACAGCTTATGGCCTCCTTATAAACATATCAGCTAGCTTACAAGATGATGGATCTATTATCTCCACCCTCTGCTCTGTGTGATTTGTGAATTCAAAAGTAAGTTTACCTATTCTCACCAGCTAAGGGACAAATCCTTAGCCTCTTGCACCTACCAGACTTAAAATCAGAGGCCAAAAGCTACAGAACTCAAGAAATAAAATGTATTTTGTAAACAAAACAGCCAGCTGGCGGTGGCAAATGCCTTTAAACACAGCAATCGGGAGCCAGGGACAGGCAGATCTCTGTGAGTTTGAGACCAGCCTGGTCTACAGAGTACCAGGACAGCCTCCAAAGCTACAGAGAAACCTTATCAGGGTGGAAGGCATGGAACTGATTGGGCAATGGTGGTGCACACCATCAATCCCAGCACTCAGAAGGCACACCATCAATCCCAGCACTCAGAAGGCACAGTCAAATCTCTGAGTTTGAGATCAGCCTGGTCTCCATAGGACATCCAGAGCTACACAGAGAAACCCTGACTTAAAGAACTAAGGAAAGAAAAGTTGAATCTGAGAGTAATGACATGTGTTTATCATCCCCACATTTGAGAGGCGGGGGCAAGCAGATAGGGAATACATAAAGGTTTTGAGGCCAACCTGGGCAATATGAGAGCCTGTCTCAAAAAAATAAAAGAGGGGTGGCTCTTGGAATAGCTAGGGAGAGGATTGGGGAAAGTGAATTGTATGAAATTCTCAAAGAACTAATTATAATTTTAATTTTAGAAAAAGTTAGTAAGGGCCTGGAAAGATGGCTCAGAGGTTAAGAGCACTAGCTGCTCTTCCAGAGTCCCAGGGGTTCAATTCCCAGCACCCACATGACAGCTCACAAGTTATTGTCTGTGCATCCTGTTCCCTCACACAGACACACATGCAGGCAAAACACCAATGCACACACACACAAAAAAAAAAAAAAAAAGGAAGAAAGAAAGAAAGAAAGAAAAGAAAAGTAGCAAAACAGTAGCTAGTTCGGCAAACTGTTTTACTGGAAAGCAAACATGGCTTATATCTATGTGAAGAGATACTAATCTTGACTGCAATTAGAGACAAGCAGCATCGCCCACCAGTTGGGCAGGAAATTGGAAGTTTAACAATACCTATCAACTGTTGAGAAATCTGTAGAGCAACTAGAACTCCTAAATATCTATGATATAAAATGGAACAGGTATTCTCATGTAAATTAAAACCAGAAAACTTTTGCAAAGCTCACATGCTGTTAAAACATTTAGAGACAGAGACAAAGAAACACACACAGAGAGAGACACACACACAGTGAGAGAGAGAGAGAGAGAGAGAGAGAGAGAGAGAGAAAGCAAGCAGAGAACAATTTTCTTAGGTGTTCAGGCTAGGTAGCAAGTACCTTTATCCCCTGAGCCATTTTACAAGTTCACATAGGAACTAATTGCCCAATGGAAGTAACCTGATGCCCTTCAATAATGGAATGTTACTGTATTGATGAAGACATTACCTTTACATGACTGAGTCACAGAAACATACACACACACACACACACACACACACACACACACACACTGGGGTGGGATTTCAAGGCAGGGCTTCTCTGTGGCTTTGCAGGCTGTCCTGGAACTTGCTCAGTAGCCCAGGCTGGCCTTGAACTCACAGAGATCCACCTGCCTATGCTTCCCAAGTGCTGGGATTAAAAGCATGAGCCACCACCACACAGCACAGAAACATATTTTATGGGGAGAAAGAGCAAGTTGAGAACTAATCAGGACATTGTTCTAAGGGCTTTACATATAGTCACTTAAATGAAGTCACTTAAAATTTCCAGAGTCATTAACTTGTGCATGGCTGTAGGACTAGTTAATCATGTCCACCAAGCTAGTGGATGGGGGCATCTGACCCTAATGCTTATACAACTCTCCTTCTAGGTAGTGATCCTCAGACAATAGGGAAGGGGCTGGAGATATGGCTCAGTGGTGAGGAGGATATATTGCTTTCCAGAGGCCCCAAGTTCTAGCCCCCCCAGCCACATCAGGCAGCTCACAACTACCTCTAACTCCAGAGGGATATCTGGCCTCTGAAGGCAAAACATTCTTACATGTACATGCTCATCTCCTCCAAAAACTAAAAAATTTTAAAACAGACACCGGGTAGTCAGTATCATCTTTCTGCTGACATCATAGCTGGGTAGAACCAGGAACTCTGGAAAGTGTTAGGACAGAAGGGAGCAGCTAGGGAGCTGAGCCAATGTTGAAGACAACAGAAGTGAAAAGGGAATTTTAATTGGAGGCATATTTTTTGATGTTTTAAATACTTTTTGGGAATTTACATTTCTTTCTGGAAGGGCACAGAAACAACACATAGTGGTTCTTCCTTAATCAATCACTCTTAGGAGAAAAGAATTACTCCCAATAACTGAATTGTTCAAATCACTAAGGGTAACTTTTCTAAGAACTAAAATGGCATTCAATTAACTATTTATTATATAAATATTCCTAATGAAAATGTGTTTCTCTTCATCTCTGGCTAGCTTAACCTTTCCTTGATAATCTAAGACAATCTGCATCAAACATTCTGAATGGCAATTATTTTCCTATGACTTCTAATTTCTTTACAGATATTTTCCAGAACTACTGAATAAATCATCCTTGTCTCTGCACTTCAGTTTAATGACATATAGAACTTTATATTCCCTTTTTGCATTAGCTTGACCTAAAACTTCATCCCTTACTTGTTCCTCTGTATTGCACGTGACTTCCCAAACATGTGGTGTATTGTTTGCTCCTATTGCTTTATTCATCTCAAGTGCTGCCCCTCCACTGCTGGCTGATGGAAATCTTTCCATCCCAAAGCTCACCTTAGAAACATCCTTATCCACAGACAACTCCTGGAGTCAGGGCCCACCCACAGGACAATTTCTGCAAAGCAACTGAAATCTTCCCATCTCTCCAAAACCAGTTAAGCAACTCCCCATACCACTCTACTCTATCACTGCCTCCTCTGGGCTCTCCCCTTGCCTCCTACCACAGACAGCACTAGGAGGATGTCCCCAGCAAAGGGCACCAATTGCAACATTTTTTTTCCCCTTCTCATTTAGAATCCACTTCAAAGGTCATAGCTTTTCAATTCTGCAACTGGCACAAATGACCTGTCAGTTGTAGGAGACGAGTTTAAAGCATAAAATTAAGACCCTTCTTCTCCCCCCCACCACCTGTGAAAACAAACACACACACAAACACACCAGGGATCCAAGCGACAGACTGCCAAAGGTTCACTGTCCCTGCCCCATGGTCTCTATGACAGGCGGGTCTCTCCTGGGCTATTTGCCCTCTCCAAGAACAGTGTGGCACAGCTCTGCTAGCCTCAAAGCATGAAGGATGCCAGGCGGGGAGTGAGCAGGCAGGGCTGAGCCAGGGGCTGTGGTGAAGAGCCTGGGACAAGCCAGGGGCACATGGCCCTTCACCTGCCTGTGCTCCCAAACTGCTTTTCCTCTTGGTGGCTCCTTGGCTCACTCTCTCTGTGTCCTCTGTCTTTGTGCTTTTATGTGTGCTCAGAAGATGAGATTCAGAGTGCCTGGCCAGCTGGTGGGAATGGTAGCTCCTCACCCCATTCTCTCTGACTGACAGGCATTGGTAGCTAAGCTTCCTTTTGTCACTGCATCCATTTGGCCCTTCCCTCTTCACTGGCCCACCTGCCTGCCCCTCAAAGCACTTGCGGTCCTGCATGAATGCACATGACAAGAGACTTGCAGGTCTACATGTGTCCAGAAGTGGCCCTGGGGCAAGAGCTGCTGTGACTGTTCCTGTGGATGTCCAAGTGCCACGTGAACTTGCAATGTAAAGGGTTGACGCACACTGGGCAAAACTGGACTCCTCTGTCTCTTTTATATTTTTATACTTGAAATGAAATCCTTTGCTTCTTTTCTAAGCGAATGATTGCTTTCAGTGTTTGCACTGATTTAAGTGCATGGTTAGTCAGAAACTGCCATTTGAAAAAAAGTTTTTCTTTTTATAGCAGCAGGAAAATGAATACAGTTAAATGTATTATACATAATTTTGAACCAAAGAGGCCAGCAGATCAGTTTTAATTTTTATTAGATGGTAAGGCCATCTTCTATGAGGCAGATTTTCTTTCTAAACAACCCCTTGAGTGGCCTGTCATTTCAGGGTATATATGATTTTTTTTATTCAGTTGATGTGTCTTTTCTGTTCTTACACACCCAGAAGATAAAGAAAATGATGGTAGAAAGCAGGAGTGTATCTGTAAGTTGTCATCTTTAGTTTATTTAATAAAGTCCTCCTTAGGTTCTGTTTCATAATAATAACTTAAAACCAAACAACTTCCCCCCACAGACTGGCTGTCTAAGTATTTTACATTCATGTACAATTTAAGAAAATAAAAGATGGAATGTCATGGGAAAAAAAAAGAAGAAACATTCTTGTCTAGGAGGCCATTCTTGTTCCCTCTCAGTCTGAAGGAATCTTTCCCTCTTCTACTCTACCTGAGGCGTTTGGCCATCTGCCCCTTTTTATTTGCCTCCTGGAACTGGTTTAATGCTTTGTAATTTTAATCAATAAAACATCCTTTGATAATTGGAGATTATCAAAATATTATCTATTATTTACAGTTCATGATTGCTCTCTCTCTCTTTCTCTCTCTCTCTCTCTCTCTCTCTCTCTCTGTGTGTGTGTGTATGTGTGTGTGTGTGTATGAACACATGCCACATGTACTATGGTATACATCTGGAGGTCAAAGGACTATTTGGGAGAGTCACTTTGTTCTTTCTACCATGTTGGTTCCCAGAGGTGAACTCTGGTCATCAGGCTTGGCAGCAGGTGCTCTTACCTGATTAGCCATTTCACTGGCCCATAGCCACCTACCATTATCCTCACTTTACAGACTAATAAATAAAGGTTCCTAAGAAGTACCAACCCTAGACTCTTAACAGAGC